GGCTGTCTGGCAAGCGCCCGCGCCCTAAAGCAAAAACCCCCCCAAAAAAAAAAAAATGGCAGAAGGTGAGGGAGAGCGAACATCCCTGGCCTCTCTGTCTCGGCCTCCTCTTTTTAGGCCAGCCTTGTTCTGCTTAGGGCTCACTGAGAGACTGAGATACGATTTATTTCCAGAATAAATGAAGGCTGAGTGCAGCGCACATTGTTTCTGCTGGCTGGGTTGTATCTTTTATTGTTTTGTTTTGTACATAAAAACCTTTTACATCAACTGACGTTCTGTTGGCTGTTTCTCTGCTCAGGTTGCTGGAATGGCTGAGGTATTCTAATGCCTCTGCCCTTCCCCTTTCAGCCTTTCCCTGCCCCAGAGTGTTTCTTTGGACTCTTGTACGTAGAAGTGGGTGCTAGCCTGTGTCTTAGCAGCACTCCTCGCAAACGTCTGGAGTGAACCGTGGACTCAGGCCACACCGTCCCCATCTGACACAGAAACAGCAGCACCTCCCCTGAGCAGAGCTTTATTGGAAGAAGCAGAGCCTGCAGGTCAGAAGAGGACTGTGGGTGGCTAGAGGCTGGGACCATGTGGTGTCCCAGTCATGGCATGGGAAGGGAAGTCAGGAAGGGCTGAGAGGCAAGAAAGTGGCTGGAAATCCTCCCGCTGACTTCTTGCCTGAGCCTCAAGGCTTGAATCACAAGGCCTTGCATCTGTTGCTGATTGAAAACCTAGTATCCAAGGCTGCTAAGAGCCCAGCTCCGAGCAGTCGGCAGCAAAAGCGTCAGCAGAGGATGGGTGCTCCAGTGGGCAGGCAGCCTCGTGGTCTTTCCCTTCCCCTTTCTCCAAGGGCTGGAGGCTGGGGAGAGACTTCTATGGAGACAGAACTGGATAAGAGGAATTTGCTGGGCAGCCTCAGGAGGAGCTGTTGTAGACTATCTGTGATGAATCTCAGGCTAGCTGGAAGCTTCGTGATTGTCCCCCAAAGTCCTAGGCCCTGGGATTGGCTCTCAGCTCAGAAGCTAATCCGCTGGGAAACTTCTAGGAAAGAGCAGCCTGTCCCTGGGGACCAATTCTGCAGTCTGCTGAGAGGCCTAAGAAGACTCAGCCACCCGTCCAGGAAAGACAAGAGGGCCTGCCCCAGCCCAGGGCTGCCGAAGGAGCCCTTCCCTTACCTGTGGAAGCCTCATGTGCCTCGCCAGGCCGACAGGTTCAACCTGGGGAGACTGCTGCAGTGCACAAAGTCTTGGGGGTAGATGTTGGCCTTGAAGATGTCCCTCGAGACGGTGGTGATGCCGGAGTTGTCACACACAATTCGAGACAAGGAAACTTGCCTCAGGGCCCTGCGCTGCCTCTTGGTGAAAACACCCCGTTTCTGCCACCAGAACCTACCAGGTGGTCAAGAGGTGTGGGTGAGGGTGGGGAAAAATTGGCTCAGAACAAGCACTTGTCATGTGCTAGGAATTCCACACACATTATTTCCTTCAGTTCTCGCAAAAGCCCTGCAAGGTAGGTATTACTCTCATCTTATAAATGAAGAAATAGGCTCAATGGTTAAATAAATTGTCCGGTATCAAGTGCAACCCAGGAAAATCCCAAATGCACAAGGAGTCAGGTTTTACATCATAAGCCTATTGAAGGGAAACCAGATGGTTTCTGGCCATGTGTTCTGGGATCCTCTAGCCTGAAATCGTGGGATCGACAAGTCTGTCTCCTGTTTATGACTCCCGTTCAGGAGAGCTCTGCCTGGGTCAGAGTCTCTTTTCCCCTGACTCATCTTTCCAGGGAGGAGCCTTCTGGTCTCAGATCCTGTGAGCTTGCAATAAAAAGCTAAATGAGCACTATTGCCCATTGTTTAGTCTTAAAATGCTAGTGGAAGGGCCAGCAGGTGACATAGTAGCTAAGACACTGGACTCCCACATAGCCAATGACAGTTCGAGCCCCAGGCCTGGTGGCTTGAAAATCACACTGGGTGCATGTACATGCATGCCCAAATTCCCAAAAGGAGGAGGAGAAGCAATTGCAGTGTGACCATGCCCCTGGGGGTGATTTCTCACTTTCCCTCTCTCTGTCTTTCTGGCTAGCACACATGCCCCATGGCAAAATCTTTAAAAATTTTTGTAAAAACAAAAGAGAAATGCTAGTGGTTGCTCCTCTGCCTCTGGAGCTGGCTTCTGTTATGTTAAGGTCACTCGCTAGTGGTTGCTCCTCTGCCTCTGGAGCTGGTTTCTGTTATATTAGATTCACTTACTAACCTGTCTCCATCTCGGGCTCTTCTGAACTGGTTCTCAAAAAGGCAAGCCAGAAGAGGCCCGACTCGGGCCCCCGGCAGAAGAGGCTCTGCGATGGCCCCAATCCAGATGTCAATATTGTCAGGTGTCCCGTACAGGTTCAGGAACTTCCTTGCCAGATCCCGGTTTTTCAGCACCTGGCTAAGCTGTGCCAAATTCCGAGGCTGGGAGAGCCCACAGAAGCGTCTCCAAGCATTGTACCCTGTGGGGGGTTGGGGGTGAGGGGAGAAGCAGCTTCAGTCTCGCTGGCTTCCCAGCAACTTTTGTGCCTCTGCATCCGAGAGGAAGCTCGGTGGTCAGTCAGTGTTGGGGGGAATAAGATCCCTGCTGCTGCAAGAGCATTAGGGGAGACAGCAAGAATATTAGAGTATTACCAGGACAGCACTTCTGGGATTGCTCCCAGGGAATAAGGAAGTGTTTCTGGGACAGCGAGGGGGACCAGGCTCACTGTGTGGCCACTTGGGTAGCTGGCGATCTCAGCTGTCCAGCAGGGAGAGCCCACAGGAGAACTGTCCGGAACTCCCCGGTTGAAGGAAGGAGAGAAACTCAGGTTTTCTGAGTGTGTGCTGTGTCCTGCCAAGTGCTATGTTAAGAGGAAGAGGCAGCTGGAAGTCACCCCATTCCTTTATATATGGCCAGAGCTGAGCCGAGGCATATGGGGTCTCAGGTGCTGTCTAGATAAGAAAGGAGGAGGTCAGAGGACGGGAGCAGGGCAGGGGCCAAAGCCTTTCCTGATGGTGTTGAACAGGACTGAACAGGGGGAAGGAAGGAAACGTTTCCAACTTCAATTCGGGTTTCACTGTTTCCTACTCATGTGACCTTGGGCAAATTGCTAGCTGTCTCTGAGTTTATTTTCTCATCTAGATCGCTGTAATTGCTGCTCCTCAAGGTCACCGGGAGGACTAAATAAGTTCATATATGTGAAAAAACTACCAAAGGGCCCGCTTTCTCTTCTTAAGCTCTCACCAAACAGTCAGTGAAGCTTTGATTTCATTCTACCTGACTCCCACTCTTTGCCTTTCTGCACTTGGAGCAGGGAGCCAGTTTCCGTAGCCCTGGGACTTTAGCCCTCCTCCTGGAAACCTGCCAGTGTGGTAGGGGATGGAGCAGTTCTTCCTGGCCTTTCTAAATCTACTTTCCCTTCTTGGAAAGACCCGACCTCCTTTTCTTAGGCCCTGTGCCCTAAGCCTGGTCCTGTGGTGAACCTAAAGCTGGAGATGCTACAGTGGGTGGGGAAGACATGGCAAAGAGGTCTTCCAGGGCTACTTTGCTGCAGCAACCCCAGCCTGCATGGTCTACACCACCGCATGTCCTGGGGCAGTCCCCAGAGAGAAGCACTGGGGTCTTCTCTGAGCCCTCAAGCCAGCCCTGGCTGAGCGAAGCCCGGGAGGAAAGGTGGGCAGCCTCCTCACCTGGAAGGCCATGGTCCCGGCTGCGCTGCATGTTGAGAGCCGCCAGGTCCAGCCCGATCCTTCTCACTTGCCGAAACAGCCGGTCTCGGAGCTCATCCACTAACATGGAGTCCTGACGGTTCAGTTTGGCAGGCGTAGCCATGAGGCCTCGGAGAATGGGGTCGATGCCACCTGGTGGCAGGAAATGGAGCCGCACAGATTTGGACCAGCCCTTGGGCCCTCTCATGATGCCAAACTAGCTCAGAGCTGAACAAACCAGTTGCTCACTCACTAATGTTTGTGTGGGGAAGCAGAGGCCTGGGTGGACATGAGGACCTGGGCTTCGGAGGGAAGGGCTCATCCCACTTCTTAAAGGAGGAAGGCCACCTCCTCTCAAGGCCACAACCCCGTCTCCATGCCTTTCAGAAAAGGATAAGAGGTCTAGGACTGAGGGTCTTCCTGGCACCTGCCTTATTTCCACAGGACTAGGGAGATATTAGCAGAGACCTAAGTAGTGGCCTGGCCTCCTGATAGTAAGCTGGTCCCACCTGGGGGAGGGCAAGCTTCCCCACTCCCACCACCACTGTCTCTGGAAAACCCGGTCACCTTCATGCACAATTCGCCAGCTGGCAAAGAAGGCGGAGCTAAGCGGGACACGAGAGTTGGGTGCTGAGGCCCGGTACTGGCTGTCCAGGCGGAACATGAAGGGCTGGAGCATGGTGTGGCCGAAGCGGAAGGCCAGAGTGAAGACATTGGCCACACGTGGGTCCACGTTGGGGCAGTACCCCTTGTAGGGCCCCAGGGTTCTTCTAGCCCGGTCCTGGCCCAGAACCAGGGGCAGAAAGTCTCGGTAGGTGATAATCTGTGAGAAAACAAAGAAGAACATTACGTTAGTGGTCATCCATCCCACACCATCGCCTTATTTATTTATTTATTTATTTATTTATTTATTTATATTTTTTTGGAGAGATTTTTGCAATAGGGCATGTGCACTTACCAGAAAGACAGAGAGAAAGTGAGAAATCACCCCCACCCCCACCCCAGGGGATGGCCACACTGCAATCCCTTCTCCATTCTCCTGTCAGGATCTTGGGTATGCACACATGCATCCGGTGTGAGTTTAAGCCACTGGGTCTGGGACTCAAACTGCGGTCGACTACATGGGAGTCCAGTGACATAGCCATTACGCCAACTGCTGGTCCCCCCACCATTGTCTTTGTAGGAGTGTGTGGACATAATAATTCTTTATTGTCCTATGTGGCCACATTAATTTCCCTTCCATGGGTGGAGATACTGGAGCCCTGAGAAGCTGAGTGATGTGGGCAGGGCCACACTGTCAGGCAGAATTGGGGGAGGCCAGATCTCAGGCACGTCCCAGTCAGTCAGACCCAGCCGGCTGAGGCACGTCCCCAAGGGTGTGCTAGGAAAGGCATGTTTGGGAAGGTGGGAACCACTCTCCTAGACTGCTTATCTTCTGGGCAACGTGGGGACTCCGTACCTGAACCATGGCCCCCACGATCTTCCGAGCCTCATTGTACAGCTTGTCTCCACTCCATCGGGGATTCAGGATTCTTAGCTCTGTAGCCAGCCGGTTGTGCTCTCGCACAAAGAGGGTATGCATGGCCGCCAGTTTTGGGGTTTCGCTTGATCGGGTGTCACCTTGAAAATCCCAATCCTGAGTTGTTTCAATCCATCCCAGAGAAATACCTTTCTACTAGGGCAGACAGGCCTGGGGACTGGACACATGTGACGGGTCCAGCTCTTGGCCCTCACAGGACCGCCTCCTCCTCAGCTGTGCTGTGAGGCTCCTCACTGACTCTACCAACCTCCTCCCCACCCCAACAGTCAGGAGGGGAAGACAGGGGGTCTCGGTTTGTGACTGGAGCAGGTTTGGGCCAGTGGGAAAGCCCAGGGCAGCCACTGGCCTCCGGCAGGGAGATCTTTGCCTATCGGTACACTCCACAAGGCAACCAGTGCCGTAGCATGGACCAGCTAAAGTGGAGGGACCCGGGTGATTCCAGGGACCTCATCTTTGGGACTGTGAGCCCCACAAACTGCATCCCTCAGCGAGCTCTCTACCCAGGCCGCGCCTCTCCTTCTTTGGTCTTAGCATCATGCTGCTCTGCCCAAGGGGCCAGAGGGAAAGGGAGCGAGAGAGAAGTCAGGCAGGGCCCTGTCCTGTACCCACCTCCTCCCACAGACAGGGAGGAAGCGAATTCAGTCACTGCTCTCGTAACTAAGCCCTTTGGCGCAGGTCTCGTTTAGGCTGCCCTTTCAGGAGACCCTTCAGGAAGGTACATGCAGCTCTTTCAGAGCACACACGTGCCATCTTTAGGAAAGGAGGCTGGAGCGACTCCCTGGGAAGGAAGCGAGGACAGAGCTGGCAGAGAGAGACCTGGGAACTGCCCTGACTTGGATTCACTCGTACAGACTCTCCTACCTGGGGCTCTGTGCATTTTATTTTTTCCTTCAATAATTATCTAATTAATTAATTTTTGCTACAGGGCATGTGCACTCATCAGAGAGAGAGAGAAAGCAAGAAGGCAAGCTGCCAGTTCTGGGACTTGAACTGTAGCCAGCCAAGTGGGAGTCCATGCCTTAACCACCACACTACCTGCTGGCCCCAGGGAACCTGTGCACTTGAGCACATTACTCATCATCCCTGATTCTCCATTTCTCACCTGTAAAGCAAGGGTGGTGGTAAGTCCCTTCTTTCAGGGCTGCTGTGAGGTTTGGAGAGCACACATTTACCTATCTTTTGTTGAGAAATTTTTGCTATAGGATATGTGTGCTCGCTGGAGAAACAGAGACTGAGAGACAGAAAGCAAGAAGTCACCCCCAGTGGGAATGACCATGCCGCAATCCCTTTCTCCATTCTCCTCTCAGGATCTTGGGCACACATGTGCATACACCCGGTGTGAGTTTTACGTCACTGAGTCCGGGGCTTAAACCGCGGTCGACTGTGTGGGAGTCCAGTGCTGTAACCATTACACCATCTGCTGGTCCCACACATTTAAATACCTTAAGCAACCAGAAATGGTTTCCATTCACTGTGACTATGCACATGGGAGTAGAGACCCCGAGGAGAGTTCGAATTACGCCTCCAGAAGAAAGGACCAGGGAGCGATGTCTAGTAACAGCGGAGAGAGGAAAATGAAGGAAATTTAGCCCAGAGAAGAGAAGATGCAGATGCGAGTGACAACTCCTTGCAGGCAATTAAAGGGGCTATTGCTGTGTGAAAGAAAGACAGAGCTTCCTAGCTTTTGGAGTTGCTCGGGAATGGGCTGGAGTCACAAAAGGGGTGAGTTCCTTCTCCCTGGAGATATTGAGCAGAGATCTCTGGCCACACGGGGAATTTGCAATGAGACTCCTTCTGACTTGCTCATTCTGACTGTGACAGGTCTATGCCTATGGTCTACCTCATACTGAGGTCCCACGCCGTGTAGCTTCCCCATGACATACCATGGCTGCCCCACCTGGAACCCAAGCCTGTTTCCCCCACTGTCTCACCGGCCAGGAAGCAGGGGATGCGCGCAGAGCGGTTGGTGAGAAGACAGGGGTCTTCGTGCAGGTTGTCAAAGGGCAGCAGGGCCCGGCCGTTGTCATGGAAGCGCTGATTGATGGCCAGCAGTCCCAGGTAGTTGGTCCTGTTGCGGAGCCGCAGGGCCAGGGAGACCTCGCTGCCATACACCATGCTGGCGTCCACAAAGGAGGTAAGGGCATTGAGCTGGTTTCGGACTTTGTTCCTGTTTTGGGGGCATGAGGGTGCCGAGCGGAAGAAGGGGATGCAGTCGCGCTGGTTCTTGATGCGAGGGTCATTGGGCGGTATCTGAGGAGAGGGCAAGTCAGTGCCACAGGTCCTCAGTAACAGGCTCACTTCTTTCGTCATCTTCCCCCTCCCTCTACATCTTGCTCAAAACTCCCTTCCTCCAGGAAGCCCTCCTTGACTCCTCTGGACTCATACTTCTCACCTCTTCACTTTGTCCCTAGCACTTGGTGTGATAGAGTTATGAAAGATTAGAAACGGCTGAGGCTTTTCGACCATTCAGACCCTCCTTTTACAGATGAAGAAATCAAACTTCAGAGAGGGGAACTGACAATTAGTTCTAATTCCCAACTAGTGGGATTAGAACTTAGCTCTCTTGACATTTAGGGCTGTGCGTCTTTAATTCCATTCAGTGTGACAGACATTAATTAAACCCCTTCCTTGCCGAGTGCTTTGGAGACTATGAAGGCTCAAAAGCCCAGGAAAGTCTCCAGGAAGCTGGCAGGTCAGTGAAAAACACACGCTTGTGCACACGCACGAAATAGCTCTAAACGGAGGTGGTATTTGCTGTGCTAGAGTATAATAGTAAATCCGGGAAGGCTCGCCAAGGGCGGTGCCCCGAGCCATGGTTTGAAGAAGGAGTAAGGCTGAAACAGCTCCCAGCCCGCCCGCACCCTCACGTCTTCACTCATGACTGTCACCCTACCTACTGAGGGTGAGTGAATGTGTGTGTGCCCCCTCCTCCCCTGCTGCCTGGAGTCGTCTTTTCTCCTAGTGCTCCACACCATTCTTCTCTTCCAGCTTGAAGGATAGGACCCTGCTCACAGCACAGCCCCAGGAATGGCAGGGCCTTTCAACTACCTTGAGAAGGAGAGAAGGGCAAGAACTGAGAGACCCCTAAAGGCTCCCAGAGGCTTCCCCTGTGGGAATCAGACCCATCGGTCAAGGTCCGTCAATTGCTCCATTCTCCAAGAAGCCTGAACTGAACCTCCTGGCAGATGGCTCTAGCCCCTGTCAAACATGCACAGAAGGGAGTCCATGTCTGGCTGTGTTTCTCACGTCTCTTTCTTACACCCAACTCTGCAGACAGCTCCCTAAGGATGATGCTTCAGTCTGCCAGCTCCCCATTCCCCCTGCCCCCACTCCCTTGAGTAGAGCCCACACTGGGGACCTAGGAGATAGGACAAGGGTACCTGGATGGGAAAGCAGGGGGGCAGCTGGGCACAGGTCTTCTCACAGTCAACGCCTGCAGTGAAGGCCACTCTGGCTGGGGACTCTGGGGAGAAGTCCAGGTCGTGGTCAATGAACTGGCCCCACTGCATGAACATGAGGGCCCGGCCTCTGTCGGAGGTCAGCCTCTCACTGGGGAAGCGCACGATCTGGTTGGAGACTTCTCGGACCTGGAGGGGAAATGAAGTCAGCCTTGGGCGTGGGCTCCCTGACCCAGCAAAGTGTTACAGCCAACCCAGGACTCAAGCCAGCAGCGCCTCCTTCTGGATCTTTCCGTCTCTCCTCTGCACTCCCCTCCCTTTTCCTCCTTGCTCTGAAGCTGTAGCCACTGCCCGAGTGGCTGTCATTTCTGGAAGGATGATCTCTGGCCTGGCTCCTGCAGATTCCAGCAGTGAAGAGCTGGTGCCAGGCTGACTGGCTCAGGCCTCACCAGCTCTTCCAGAGAGGCAAATAGATCAAATCGACAGGTCAACTTGTAGACTACTTGATAACTAGATCCTGGGACTGGTTCATAGATGCTTGGACTAGTTGCAAAGCGATGGGTCCATACAGGGAGATTTGAATAGATAGACGGAAGGATAAATGAAAATTAATCAACAGATATTGACAGATGGGAAGAGGATAGTTTGTTATGTTGACGTATCAATGGAAAATTGGTAAATGTGAAATAGTATAGATCAATAGATATTCCTATTTAACAAAATATGTTATCACTAATTCTCTGAGAAAAGCAAAAACAAAACCAACACCTTGTGGCTAGCATTAGCAGATCACGTCCTATCAATATATGGCTGCTTAGACTAAGGACTTTAGTGGTCACACTAGCTCTAAGACGTAGGTCTCATGCCATTTCACAGGTGAGAAAATCGAGACTTGGGAAGTCGTATTCTTTTTATTTTTTTGGAGAGGTTTTTGCTATAGGGCACATGTGCACACCAGAAAGACAGAGAGAGACAGAGAGACAGAAAGCGAGAAATCACCCCCCAGAGGGGATGGCCACGCTGCAATCCCTTCTCCTCCATTCTCCTCTCAGGATCTTGGGCACACACGCACACCTGCCCGGCGTGAGTTTAAGCCACCGGGTCCAGGACTCGAACCGCGGTCGACCACATGGGAGTCCAGTGACATGGCCATTACGCTAACTACTGGTCCCAGGAAGTCGTATTATTTGTCATCTGGTCAGTGGTAGTACCTGGGTGCGAGGGCTGGCTGACTGTGGGCTGTGACTTACTCCCCACATTTAAAAGACATCGAGCACCCTCCAGACCTTCAGCTCTGACTCACAAGAGGGAGACGGAAGCCATTGCGCCTCTTGCCAGGGGTCCAGCCGAAAGGGAGCGACAGTCTGTCCTCATACTCGGCTGGCAGCCAGCGGGCCAGGGCCTGGTTGGAGGACCCCAGCAAGGGTATCTTCCTGCAGCAGAGGATGGGTCGGGGGTAAGCAGGGTCAAGGGTGATGGCTCAGCAGGGAGCGAGGAGGAGGAGAGGGAGGTCCCAGTCCGGGCAGCCCCTGTACCCACTTGTTGTTGCACCTCCCCGTGATGGTGCGGTACTTGTCACTACACTTCTCTTTCTTGTCCTGGAGAGCACAGCCACTGGCCTGGGACAGCAGCTGCAGCTGGCGTTCCGTTAGCACATCTGGGTGGTGGGAGAGCAGGTGGGAAGGGTCCTGGGTCCCGGGTCCTAGCTCCTTCCTGAGCTGGTCTGCTCCACACCTCCCATCTCTTTACCTCCTCCCTACACCCCAAGGCCGTGCCTCCTGCCTCCCCTCTTGGCTTCCTCCCACCCCTAGGCCAGGGCAGGCCCTGGGCTTCCGTGGGGAACATAGTACCGGTGACATTGAAGAGTCTGGACCCCTGGGGTTGTAACTTCTCTTCCAGCAGCCCCAAGGTGACATGCACATAATCGGCAGCCTGAACAACTGCCCTGGTGGCCGCGACTAGTTGCTTGAAGTAGGACAGGAGGTCCATGGGGCTGGCCGAGCCGCTGCGAAGGCGCTGCTTGATGCTGCCCAGAGGAAAGGGTGAGGGCTGGAGAAGGAGTGCAGACCTGCCCACCCAGATGCCCAGCGGGGGTGCAGTCGGCACAGTGTAAACAGACTGAAGTAGGGACGGAAGGGAGGCTCTGCAATAGTGGAGGTCCCTTGGTGCTCAGGGTAAGTGTTAGATGAGACAGCCATGGCTGGAGCCCAACCCCCCTGTGGGCCCTCCCAAGGTCACACAGCCCCAGGCCCACCTCTTCTGGGTCTGATTGTAGGCAGTATCCACAAGCAACTTGGCCTCTGCTATGCAGTCCTGAAGGACCGAGGTCTTCACTGCACTGGGGGAAGCTGTTTAAAGATATGGGCGCTCAGGGTTCAGGGGAGCTGCAAGACCTACCAGACCCAAGCACATCTTCCTCCTTTATCCTTGCTGCGCACCAACTCTCTCCCTTGGCTGCCAAGGCCCTGTTACCTGGGGTGGTGCCCTCACAGAGCTGGGTGAGGGTAAGCATGGCTAAGATCCCTGCCAAGGCCAGGAGCGGCTGCATCTCTGCAGGGAGACCCCTCAGCCACAGCTGGGGAAGGGAGCACCGGGTCCTCTGCACCGCTCTCGCCTGCAGGACTCCAAGCTGACTTCTCACCGCCTGCTCTTCTCTGGAGGTAGTTGGGGGGACTTTTATATCCTGTCCCAGCACGGGGAGGGCAGCTGTGGGCCCCAGAAGCCCAGCCTCTTAGGTGGGGCTCTAGGACCTCCCTCTGGTTTTCAGGGGAGTGTGGCACTGAAACCACTCCATCCACCTCACCCACTGCCAGCTCGGGACATCTTCCCTCCTACCCTCGTTTTCCATCCACAGCCTCTACCATCTAGTCCACAGATATGTGAGGGTTCTTCAAAAATGTATGGAAAATGCTTATCATGACAAAGCTATGCATGGATTTCAAATTTTGCTTTTGCTACAAAACAGACTCTCTCTCTCCATATATATGTATATAT